GTAACGCCCAGTACATACGATACATTATCTATAAATTCGATATGTTTGTAATTATGACACTGCAAAGTAATTGTGAACCAGAAATTCACCAGCCGTAAATCAAAACGCATTTGAACTTTTTCATATTCCCACAGGGCAAAAGGCCAAGAAAAATTAAAAATCTGATAATGACAATATGCAATAGAAGACACTAAGTCCGATACACGTAATGATGTAAAATAATTCTAACATAGCTCTAACAAAGTAATTGTAATATCTTTCAGAATGATTGCGGAATTGATAAGGAAAGATTTTCAGAGTTGCTTTGTTTCTATTTCGGTTCCACGTATGTATGTTGTGTTTGATGGCGCGGTTCATTTGCAGAAAGAAGGTATGTGCATTGGCTAAAGCATGGCCCCAGTCTTAGGTGATATCTATCTGTCAAAGTGTGACAGAGGGATTGAACAAATCTTGGAAGCCGATGCTGTCCCAATTTTCAGGGATGTGGATGATTATGTGGTGCTCTTTCACCCACGGGAAGCGTCCCAAAAAGCTGATTTTGTATAAAAAATGTTGGGAGTATTTGGGGCCTGCTCCACGGGGTTAGATTTTACAAAGGAGGATTCTGTAAATGATAACTTGCAATTTCTGCACCTTACATTATCGCTTCAGCAATATGTATGCTGGCGTTATGCTTCCAGATCAAAAAAGTCTCTGCTCCCTTACAGATACAACCATTGGAAGGTGGTTCAAAGAGGTAGAGTTTTTACCTGTCTCCATGCATCCTTGGCGAAATCTTGTCCACACAGGATGGCGGAGGCTTTTGCATCTTAGGTGAACTGGCTGAAGAAGGGGGTTATCTATCGCCACTCCTTACAGGCGTGGGTAAATCACTGCTGCAAAGGAATCAGTGGACTGCTGTGGTCCCAGAGAAGTGCAAGCCGAGAGTGAGACCGGCAGTGGTGCCCCAGAGCCAAGGCTCTGGGTGCCCTACGTACACAAGGTCAGCAACAGGATTAAGGTGGCGGAGAGACACAAAGTCCCGGTTCTTTTCTCCGCTCCCAAGAAACTGGAGAAGTTGTATGGTAGAATTGATAGGGGAGCAGCAACGCAGTGCGATGCGAAAATAAGCAAAAAAAAAAAAGAAGTTCATAGCGTGCGAAGTGGGACTTGTGTATAGAATACCGCTATCGTGTGGTAAGCAGTGTATAGGACAGTCTGGTAGATGCGTCCACGATAGACTAAGGGAGCATGCATTATCTGTGAGGTTGTTCCTTGCCGCCGCACTTGGCGATTCATTGCGACAGGTGTGGGTGCGCCCCGAAGTTTGAAGAGACAACAATAATGATGCGACAGAACAACAAGAGGACGAGGGAGAGAACGGAGGCATTTTATATGTCACGATGTAGGGTCAGTGCCCCTTTTGTGGCCCTCTATCGAAGAGAGATAGAATATCTCGGCCAATGGGAATGTGGTGTGTGGTGACGTGAGTGTCGTGGATTGTTCGGGTTTTTTTCCGCGGCCTTCATGTTTTCTTAACTTTTCTACTGGTCCATCGTTTGTTTGAGCTGTATTCTCGTTCCGATGCATCACCAACTTGCCCAAGTTTCCACGCTATCACAATTCAAATGGGGAGTAGCCGACGGAGCTGTTCGCGCTGTTTCTTTGTTTTTCTCCACCCGTCGTCTGCCCTGCCTCGTTTGATAACTTATACACGCGCGCGTGCTTGTTCGGCGGATGGGCATGCCGAACGAATCTTGCGCTACAGCCACTTTAAAAACACCAAAAAGGGAATGTGTTCAAGTTCCCTCAAGACCGTAACCGGCAAGAGTGGGCAAGAGCTATGAAAGATGTCCTCTTCCCATCCTCGTCCTCGCTGTTTTATACTTTCAAGTTTTGTAGCTATTAACCAACACGCTCGTTTTCAATTGTAAGAGCCATTCGAAAGGAGAATCTTGTGTCTCGACACACCAAGGGAAGAACTCTTTGTTTCCATTTGCCAGGTCTCTCGTACAGTTTTCGCTTTCTAAGTCTTCTGAGCTTTCGTGAAATGACCTATATCGGTTGTCATCATGTCGGGCGTCATTAGAAAACAAAAAAGGCTCAATGTGCTCAAAGTACGTCTGCATTCGTTTAAGTTCGACAGCTTACGTCAAGGACTTGAGATGCTACCTATACTTTAACAGCCTGTTGATACAGAAGCAGTGTAATTCCTGGTGCGGACGGATATGACGTTTAGTGCCGTGCCAGGTGGCCAGGTTAACGGCTCATTCATTAAACAATTTATTCTATTACTACGACTGGGCAACCCCAAAGTTTCATCAGTTTTTCTTATGCTGTCATGCATTTAAAAAAAAAAGATAAGGCGCGTTGTAAAAAGTCACATCTATCCGTGTATATATGAAAATATGTTGACTCGCGTTTTCGTGCACGAATGTATTTATCGGGATCATTTGTGCTTCGTGTGACACGTGGGAACCAAATAGGAAGTGCTCATAAATTGTTGTCATTTATACGAAGGCAAATTTGTTTTTCAAGTGCGCGAGCTTCACTTCACGGAGAGTGATATCCCTCGAAAGACGTCACACGCGGATGATGCTACGTATGGTCACAGGTCATCATTCCATTGAAGCATCCCCCCCTACGCCATGGTGCACGGTCATAATTTCAGCTTGACTTGTGGTGTAGATGCAAGTAGCTCTTGACAAGAAGCTCTCGGAACCGTTTAGCTTACAGCAGGAATGAAGTTACTACATTCGTTTACTGAGTCAACTTTGTTGATGCTGTGATCTAAAATAATGTTTTCAATCGTTCTTCATCATGTAATTCTTGGCAAGTATTCTTCATAAATAATCTATTTTGCGGGGATAATTACATAATGCACAATTTCGCGCTTAATAATAAACCCTATCTCGAGAATTATACACCTAGAGCGTTCTTGTATTTTACATCATTTATTTTATGAAACAATGATTCGCCGGTTTAAGAAAACCAGCTTCCTAACCCAGAGGTCGTGCTCAGTTGGCATTTAAGGCAATGAAGACGCTTGCATCAATAATAACTCGTTGCTATGACGGTAACCCCCCGCGTATTCCTTCTCTTCCGCGCTTTAGAGCGGCCTCGATGGCCTTCTCTTTCGGCCATGCGGAAAGAGCGCCGAGGCCTTCCTAGTCTAGGAGGTGTTGCTTGACCCCTGCTCTAAGGTAAGCAACGGGAAGGAATGGCCGCCGTCGTAGAAACAAATCTCGCGCCTCCTTGCTGCAGACGCGATACTCCGAAAGGAATTTAGAGGAGTGCCGCCGGTGGCGTAAAAAGTGCAATAACATCCTGGTTATCTACCTGTCGATTTTCCTTTGGCTTCAGGAATTCTGACGCATGTGAACACGCATCGTCGCCAAAGATGCAAGCAGCCAGACAGTGCAGCCAGGATCCAATGCAACATTAAACAAACTAATAACACGTTTTTTTTTACAAAAAAAAGCAAAACAAAAAAAAGACGAAAAATATTTTAATTGCAGTAGCGAAGGCCGATGGCAAAGGAGACATAAATGCAAGATTAAGCAAAATACTGACACGTTTTCCTTTTTTTAACAAAAAAAGCAAAAGAAAAAACGCAAAAATCTTTTAATTGCAGTAGCAACGGCCGATGAGCAAAGGAGACAGTGCAAAGCACGGGGTCTCAAAGCGATTTACGGTTTTAGTCCTGGACACTGCAAGGGCCTTGCCGCTTCCTTTACACGTTGCGGAAGGAATGCGTGCGGTTCAATGTGGACGGATAAGCAACGCGGTATAATAAAGGATGTTTCAGTTCACTTGTGCCGAGACTTAAAAGAAATGTGGCACACGCTACGCTTGTTGAACCAATGCAGTATTGGTTATAGTCCTCTCGTGCAACTATAGATATTTCTTGTGATAAGCTAAGATTGCTGATTAATAGTATCTGACTTTTAAACTCTTAATTTGTACGCAAACCCCGCTATACGAAAGGTTTAGAGTGAGTTGAGCAACATCATATCCTGTCCTTTCCATTAATAAAGGTAGCATTCATGTGTATAATATTTTTGGTTTTAAAAAAAGAAAAGCTCAAAGATCTTGTGCTAGGTTTAAAACATTCCATGTACCGTATTTCCCGGACTGGTAGTTCGCACGCTGCACATAGTCCGCACTTAGTGCATAATCCGAACATAAAAATTATCATATAGAGCACACCTTGACAATTACCTGCCGCATTAGCACGCACAGAAGCTTGCATCACATATAAATCACTATTATTATACTCTGTTACTAACAAAATCCTCGCGTCTTGTCACAGTGAACGATGTAGAAAAACAGAAAACCTTGTATAGTCCATACAGGGTAAAATTTCAACTTTTAAAAATGTATAGTCCGCGGAGTATAGTCCGAAAAATAAGGTAATTACCGGCTGGCAAACTGCAATGGTATTCGCCCTAGTTCCGTAAAATAAAAGTTAAATAAAAAATCGCCCAAATAGTTTCTGTTTGTTTTTTAGGGGTTAAAAACATTAGGCACGAAAAGGTTACCTTAGCAAAAACGACACTATGGACAGGTTTTCAAGGCGTCCTACAACCTTTGTAATGAAAGGATGCGCGCAAAATAATGTTTAAAAACGTAGGCTAGTTTACCAACGTTCATAGCCAGTTTGGCGAATTAAAAAAAGTAACTTTATAATAATAATAATAATAATAATAATGTGTTTTATTCCCTTTACAAATACATACAAATAATGCTGGCCTACAAAAGCTCAACTCAACAATACTGCGTTTGTTTGAAACGTGTAGTGCGCACCATGTTTTTAAAGTCTCGGCGCAAGTTAGCTAAAACACCATGCATGTATTTTTTTTCTTTTTCTTTTGCAGTGAGAACTCATTTTATTTCCAAGGATGCAAGACACTACACAGTGACATACTTTTTTTAATGTCAAGTTTGCATACAAGACTGCTTTTCATCACCACACAACATGCAATGGAGAATCAGTCCCCTTAATTCTAGGAAATTGGCACTTATTGCCCTGTTAGTGTGGTATTACAGGTTATCGGATTGTAAACTCTAAATATTGGCTCACCACAGGTTATCATGTAGGCGAGAACGCAGTCGAGGGAAATCTGTTTCCATGCGATGTCTTGAAACCATCTTCCAATGCCAGCTTCTACGTAAGGTTCTAACTGTAGTTTTTGAAAATCTGTCGGAGTGCAGTTTTCATCGATTCCCAATTCTTTCTTTTTCTTGTCCGTCAGTTCCTTTTCTTTGTTTTTAATCTGATTTCCCGCGTCCTCCACTATTTTTTTCAGCTCGGTTTTTCTAAGCCACAAGTCGCATCCTGTAAAATTGAAGAAATACCAATTAATCGCGAACATCGTACAGACAGTTTTGGGCGACTATGGATGCACTTAAACGTTCGAAAGCAAGTGACTCCAAGTGAAAACAAAAAAGTCATTTGCGGCGCGGAGAGCCGGTGTAAGTCAACACTATAAAATAAAAATGTCAGTTGTCAGTCAGCCTTCGTCGTGTGTACTAATCTTCTGCCTGTCTGTTTTTGTTGCTGTTTTTTTTTTTCGAGTTTTCTTTTTCTTTCGTTAGTCACGTCGTCGCACAAACCGTTACTAAGTTAAACAAAGCTTAGATAAGCATAGTGTTTTCTCTTATGTCTTTAAACCCCGGACCCGAGCCGTTTCACCACACACCAAAAAATTAAATAAAATACGAATATCTCATTGAATGGGTGTCAATGTTTTCTTGAAAGAGAAAGGCAAGAATAAGCTTTGAATAATTTTTTTATAGTTAAAGCTCAGCTGATTATTCTGACACAGCGTTCCGTAACTGTCCCTGTTATATTTTTAAACGTTATATTTTTAGGTATTCTTTAGATATTTATTTGTATTGTGTCCAGAGACAACCCTGGCCTTGGTTTTGGTACACACTCATACACACACATGCACGTGCATGAGAAAAAACAGAAAATAAAAAAAAAACAGACAGAAAAGCCGAACACTGATGTTATCCAATGTGGATGATTTCTATACTTTTCAGATCCAACTCACTCCCAAAAATGTCAACCACCGCCCATAGTGCATTAAAATATCTTTAAATTAGTAAAATATGGGCATTTAACGCATGTCTTGCACGTAGAAAGTGTTGTGGTGACGACAATTTACAGGACGTACATCTAAAGAAAGCGAAGAAATAAGTCTGGGGCAACGTATTCTGCGATGTGCAGTTTTAGACAAAATAACATAATTTCGAAAATTCCGGCGCCAGTATTGGCAAGTTTAGCCGAAATAACATTGACTCGTAGATACAAAAGAACCGGGTGCCTTAATAATAGTCGTATTCTGTATGTGCCAACTTTCTGTGCACAAGTTCTAGGCTAGCAGGGCTGGTCCCCCCCCCCCCCTCCCCAGTTTCAGACAGTTCGAAACTACAGAGACAAACTCTAGTTTCGATTGAACAGCACATGCATAAAGCCTGACGACTCATGAAGTTTCTTTAAAATGACGGGTTAGAGCGAACACAAACCTAACAGTCACAAACAAAAACTAGCCAAATTTGACACATGATGTAACTAAGGGATGGATCAATATAATCTCCTAAGTCATGTACGCAATATTCACCTCGCAACGTTTGATTGTCTTGTTTATAAAAAAAAAATTAAACGCACATTTCCTGCGTGATAAAAAAAAACAAGTGTTTTTTACTATTTAGACGTAATTTTTGTTTTGCACCATGATGAGATAGCAGATACGTCCTGCAGCAGTTCACAATCAACATGTGATTTGAGTTCGTTTGAAGATCGTAATAGAATCAGCGAACTGAAGCAAATTCGAATGTTTTACACAAAGAGAGACACCATTGGGAAAATGTTAAATGGCAAGGATCCTAGAATAAAACCCCCAGGAACGCCAGATGATATGTATGATCTCGATAACACACTGTTAATACGAGTGTTGTTGATGCGCCAGAAAAGATATGATGAAACCACGAACACACCGGCAAACGCACCTCATAATCCAATAGCTTTTGCACACATAGATCATGATGCACAAGGCCAAATGCTTTGTTAAAGTCAAAAGAAATGGCATCGACCTGCCCATAGTTGGCAACAAATGGAGCCAACGTCACTCGGTCTGCTAAGTTAATTTCAACACTTTCAGACTTAACAAAACCCTGTTGCAATGAATTTAATATTTATTTATAATAACTAGAAATCTGGACTTCTACTGCACTCTCAGACAGTTTTGAGGAAATGGTAAATATACATGATGTTTCATTTGAATTTATTCATATACGAAAATACATGAAAGGTACACTAATGTTGTTTGTGCAGATGAGTTTTAAAATCAGAGGGTCATATTATAGTGGACTCACCGTCACGATAAGTCGGACGAAACTACTAAAACTTGTTAGGTAACTTTTTAGTTAGTGAAAATAAACGTATGGTTCCAATTGGAAACTTGCTGTCGGCGATTAAGAACTACTAAATTATAAAATTTCAGGAATTAATTCAAATGTAAAGTGTGGAGGTGCGCTAAAGTTAGCACTCGTGCCAGCGGCACAAGGCTGGCGGTACGAAACGTGGATGACTACCACCTGCGCAACACAGGAACAAACTTTAGTATATATTATTTCACGTTGGCTTGGCAAAGAGCGAAAACTACGCACCGCTCGAGCCAATCAGAGTGACGGCTGTGAAGCACGTGACAGCCCTTAACAAGGACACAAGGGCGAGAGCGTAACGCGAGAAGTTGGAGAGGAGAGGAAGAAGGAACTTCCCTTTTAACCCGAACCCTCTTTTGTGTGTCACAGACGTCGTTGTTCTCCTCCTCGGAGATTAGCCCCTCACAAAAAATTAGTACAAAAGCGGCTTCCCTCTCTTTTTTGCTCATATCTTTGACAGTACTGTGTGCACATAGTGTGATAGAGTATAGTCAAGTGTCTTGCTCTGACACGCTGATTGGTTTACGCCTTAGCCGTTTGCCAAGCTATGGTGAAGCTTAGATGGCCGATGGTGTTCTCTTCATAAATTAAATCTTCGTATTATCGCTGACGTGGCCTATTCACTTTTAGGTATTTGTTGCACAAGCGATGCATAAAACATCTATTATGTTGTTGCTTTTGTACTAGGGCCCACCTCTCATTCTCAATTATCTTGTAAGTTTCCCACTTACAACGAACTTACGTTTAAATTAAGTTGCACTAACATTATGAATGTATTTGAAATCGCACACGACACCAGCAGTATAAGAGATTTTACTGCAGTTTTGTGAAGTCATCGTCTGAAATCGTAATTGGAACATATGTTGATTGTGCGCGATACTGGGCAATGTTTGGTGCACTCGTTTTTAGTTGAAACAAAACTTTGGTATCAAGAATACCCCTTTTCTGGTTAACATATGCACATGTGCCTTCGAGGCAATGAAGATTACCAACGGTTTGAGACACGACCTCTGTTAAGTGAACATACCTCAAAACTTAGAGTTCATCTTACAAGGTAGGACGCCTCTACGGGCAAATCTGAGTAAAAACATCGCAAAATAAATTCTTCGTAACACAGCTTATGGACAGCTCGTTTTACTCAAGATTCCTTGCGCTAAGCAACCTTAAGTTGGGAGTTTTTTCTTCAGTTATAAAGCAAACTGTAGGTGCTATACATATTTAAATTAGCGAAACACAAGACGACGTGACATTAATCTCGCTGAAGCTTTAATGACCTTACCTCCTGCGGCTGCCGGACTCCTAAGGATATAACATTGCGGCTCGTTGTATACCACATACATTTCAAAATCGTCAGCACTTTCCGGATAGGGAAACAATTCATCTAGAATTTTCCCCGTATAATCACCATATCCAGCATTTCCTGGGTGAGAAAATAATTTTCGTAATTTAAATTAGATATACCACCAACAGAAACAAGCTCCACGCTTGTCGAGCATAAAACCTGAACTTACCTCTATCAGGAAAGGGAGTACTTCTGGAATAACAGGTGGAGTTATCATACTGAGCGAACTTGTAGCTTCCTGGGGGAGCCGGAGTAGCTTTTGGGAGTGTTCCTGATTTCGGGGTACAAAAGCAAGTTAATGCACTTTTAATATAGTTTAGATCAGTGGTTGGCAACCAGCGGCCCGTTGGCCGGATCCGGCCCGCGAGGTAGTATCATACGGCCCTCAGCCTCCCGGTAACCCGCCCTTCCCCCTACGCAGTCAGCTAAGGAAAAAAAAAATTAAGTTGACGTTTTACTTCGCTGCTCGTCTGCGAGCAGACTTTTTCACGAATGAAGTGCATAAAATCTAACTTCCGCTAACGAATGACTAACGAGAACCTCCACAATGTTTTGCGACTCGCAGTTAGCAGCTTGAATGTGGATGTTCGTGGTTTGGCGAGCGCAGTCAATTCTATCCTCCTTGAGCGCAGTTCAACACCAAAAGTCTCTCTGAGAGGAGTCTCTACGTACAAAAAGTTAGGGCGCAAACAAGCTGGTGAAGGTTTAACATTTTGGACGAAACCCCGAGACTGGGGGAAGGGGGGGGGGGGGGAAAGGACAACACAACAGTCTCGGGGTTTTGTCCAAAATGTTAAGACTCTACGTTTTCGTGGAAATGTCGTATCTCATGCTGTTTGTCGTGAAATAAAGAAACTGTTCATTTTCGATTTATGTACGTCAATGTAAGTTCGTGCAAGTGCGTTTTTTTCAATTTTAACTCCTCTCCCCTCCCCCCCCCCCTTCCCCCGCTGCTTGCCGTTGCCCGTTCCGCCTAGGCTTCGCGGCGACTCGGCCCGCTTCGCCAAAAGGTTGCCGACCACTGGTTTAGATGATTAGGCTACTGAAGTCCTCCCAGGTTGCACTCTAGTCCTAACCTGGCAGTGAGGCGAAGCAGTAACGAAACTAATTACAACTATTTGAGTTACTGTAGTTAGTTACATTTCTCTAACTAAATACTTTGCAAGTTACAATAACATTTCAGGAACAACATCATGAAAATTAACACTTATAAGAAAATTTAGACCGCCTGCAAAAATCGGTTTCTCAACGTATCGCGCTGCAATGCACACTATTTAAGGCCAATGCACACTTGCAAACTCACTGTGCCGGCTGTGGGTGTGAGGCGCGATTTCAAGAGATCAGGATCTTGGGTAGAAGCAAAGATAGCCCAGCCAAAGAATTGATGGAACCTCTCTTATAAAGAAGGGACGTGACTGTGTTAGCGATACCTCGGTTTCTTTGTTTGAAAGTGAAGTGCAGCTTTTATCCGGGTTGCTGGTTTGATAATGACTATCGTGGAATGTGTCTTGGTGGGTGACTTTTCTATCTGTTTTTCTGTTTCCTTTTTTCTTCTGTGTAGCGTGCTGCGCATGCTCTTTCTGGATGTTCGTGGTCGATCGAGCACGAATAAACTAATTGAAAGTTTGCGCTTGTCCGTGTCTACTCGCTTGTGATTGTCCCTTGTGTCGCGCAAAAAACCTATAGACTGCATCATGAACCAACTAGGCCAACAACAAGTTTTAATTGACTTTCACTACATCTTTGCACCTTTCTAGTAAATTGCAGTACGATACTTTGATAAACTGATTTTTTCGGAACGTCTAAAGTGCATTAAAAGCGTTAGTTTACATACGGTATAAATGCAACTTAGTAATTTTTGTGTGACTTGTAACTTGGCTTAGAGACAGTTACTTTCCAAATTTTCACTTCTGAGCATCATCTCCGAGCACTTCAATTTAGTGGAAGCACCTGTCGATGAAATTGTTTGAATCATTACTGGGTTTACTTTTCATGACACTAGAATTTGTTAATATTGAGCCTGACTTGATTGAAAATGATTATAAATCAACATTGCGAAGCGGCAAGAGTAGCACTTTTGGAATTGACGCAAACGGTTAACACTTTTGGTAGTTAAACTCACGAGACGATCGTCTGAAACACGCGAACATATGACCGCAAGATAGTAAATGCCACCAATACGATGATGGTGAATGTGAGCTTCTAGAACTTTTTCGCTGCATGTGTCCTCCAGCGCAAAACAAAATGACAGAGTATCTCGATACAAATGTAACGGGTCTGAACAACTTTTAATGCAAGGGTGCAGGCGAGCTGTTAAAGAACTGACATATTTAACCCAGTAAAGTGGGAAAACAGAAGGAAACGACAACACGAATCTCCAAACAAGTCAAAGGGAAACACCGAGCGATCACTAAGTAACAAAGGGAATGACGTCAACCAACTTCTAACAGAGCCACAAAAAAGAAAAGGTCGCAGATTAAGAAATGCTTTCATGCTAATGTCTAGAGAAACGAACTTGTTGCTAAAACAATTAGCGGGCCTATACACCATCCACGACTCTTTCAGTAAACGTTTATAACAAACCCTTTCCCTGTGGAGCTGTTCACTATTTTTCTGGACAACGACACAATTGCCACATGAAGAGAGATGATTCTCTAATTCTGAACCCACGGATTTGTGCTTCTCCGCTCGTTTGGGTCCAGTTAACCTGTCATTAACACATTTAGCCGTCTGACCCACATAGCAAGAACTAAATTTCACGGAAATTTTACACACTACACCCAGATCACAATCCACGGGAGGGTCTCTGATTTTTGTTACCTTCTGTTCTTTACAATAAACTTCTGAGATGTTCGGGGGGGGGGGGGGGGGCATTGTCCAACAGTGTGACGCAGAAAGTTCAAGTGCTTTTTGTGTAGTAGGGGTTAAGACTTGAACCCTAGGCTCGTGAGAGCGGCGCGCTTGCCCGAATTTTGGATGACACGCCCCTTTTTGGACCGATTTTGGCCCATGTGATCATGTTCACGCTGCAATATCTCGTAAAATATTACGATTATCAAAATGCTCTCCGGGATTATAGTAGTAGACGTGCTCTATAGTCTTCTCTTAGTGCTGAAAGTTCGCTGAGACTTTAACCCTAGGTTTCTGAGAGCGGCGCGCTTGCCCGAATTTTCGATGACACGCCCCTTTTTGGACGGATTTTGGCCCATGTGATCATGTTCACGCTGCAATATCTCGTGAAATAATACGATTATCAAAATGCTCTCCGGGATTATAGTAGTAGACCTGCTCTATAGTCTTCTCTTAGTGCTGGGGGTTCGCTGCGGCTTTAACCCTAGGTTTCTGAGAGCGGCGCGCTTGCGCGAATTTTCGATGACACACCCCTTTTTGGATGGTTTTTGGCCCATGTGATCATGTTCACGCTGCAGTATCTCGTAAAATAATACGATTATCAAAATGCTCTCCGGGATTATAGTACTAGACCTGCTCTATAGTCTTCTGTTAGTGCTGGGAGTTCGCTGAGACTTTAACCCTAGGTTTCTGAGAGCGGCGCGCTTGCCCAAATTTTCGATGACACGCCCCTTTTTGGACGGATTTTGGGCCCATGTGATCATGTTCACGCTGCAATATCTTGTAAAATAATACGATTATCAAAATGCTCTCCGGGATTATAGTAGTAGACCTGCTCTATAATATTCTGTTACTGCTGAGAGTTCGCTGAGACTTGAACCCTACGCTCCTGAAAGTGGCGCAGTTGCCCAAATGTTCGATGACACTCCCCTTTTTGGACAATTGTTGGCCGTAAATATGTGCTAAGAGTTAATAATTCTCATCTATTATGTACTATTTATGATAATATTAATTCATTTAGTCTCAATTTGCGCGAGAAACAGATTTTTCCTACTCTAAACAGCTCTGAATTCATTTGGAGGGCCCTGCCTTTTGTAATTTTAATGACCAGGGCACTTTGTAGAATTGACGGATCGCGAAGAAAATAGTACCAAGATTTAGTTAGAGAACTGGAGCTTATAGAACCGAAGAGAGCAACTCGAAATACGGAGTGGTTTGTTTATTAATCGAGACCGAACTCAAACATTGCTCTGCATTACGCCGTACTCCCATAAGGATAATGCTTTTTTTTTCTATTGCCAGTTGGCTCTATTTATTTTAGGCACACGGCCTTTAAATTTAGCAAGATGAACGAGAAGTGTATCTGCTAAAAAGGCTGCTGATAGCAAAATAATGCACCGGTTAGAATTTCGTGAAATAAAGAAAGTCTAATTCGTCCCATTGAGTTACGGGCCGTCCTGCCATCGCTGCCGATAGATGGCGCAAGTAGTGTTGGCGCGCTCGTGTCCAGGAATCGTGGGGTGGAATCCCTTTCCCAGTGGGGCACTTCACTATTTTTCCGAACAACGACACGATTGCTAAATGAAGAGAGATGATTCGGTAATTCTGAACATACGGATTCGCTTTTCACCGCTCGTTCGTGTGCAGTTAACCTGTCATTAAGACATTTAGCCGTCTGACCCAGATAGCGAGAACCGAATTTCGCAGAAATTTTGACAACTGCACCCAGATTGTAATCCACAAGAGGTTCTTTGATTTTTGTTACAACCAGCCTTCTGTGATGAAAGAGGTGTAAACCGGTCGAGCCGAAAATCGGGTTGGAAAACAGCTGTTACACCAAACGTCTTCACTAGCGGATTGAGGTTATGAGAAGCACTATGAAAATGAGGCAAAAAAAAAAAAAAAACCCTACCGTAATATCCCGAGAGTTAGCCCACCTAAAGTCGAAAGCAAATAGGGTGAAATAAAGGGTGAGCCAACTTTAGGTGTGCGATAAAAAAAAAAAGATGAAAAAAATGTTATTTTTAGATTTTCAGATCTACGAAACCTGTAATCGCAATGAGGGGCGATGAACCAAAGACAACTTTCCTTCCCAGTCAGCAATGTTCACTTATCTCTTGCCGTGTCTAAGTAACACCATTTTAGCTGAGGTCATGATTGGCCAAGACCCTGCAATTACTTGAAGTGTGCTATCTCTCGGAGATTTATAAAAGTAGCCAATCGTCCAAAAGTAAGCTTGCATTATCTTTCGAAGGTGGGGCATCTCTGGGGATCTTACGGTACTTTTTTCTACTCCGACGCCTATAGGTAAGTTCAAATTTTTCAGCAAATGATGGATGACCGTAAACAGGAACGCCCTGCTGTAGCTCGCGAAGAACAATCTACGAAGCTGCTTTTCCAAACTGGCGCCCAAACGGTGAGCACAAGAAAACTTTGTTGACTTAATTAGCACAATCTTAACAACTCCCCGCTTTACAATTTTAGAATGAAACCTTACCTCAGAGTGCAATCAATGGCTTCCCCACTTTCTTACCCACTCTCCAGGGTTCAAAATGTCAGTTCAGAGCAGATACTTTTTTTAGAACTAAATGAAGCGTCGGTAATCAGAGCACCTATAGTCATCCGAGATGCGATAGTTTACAAGTAACTACAACGTGAAAAGGAGCCTCCGGTAAGCCTCAACAGAGCGACAAACGACGTTTCATTAGGGGGCTTAGATCATTAAGGGTGTCTTGGTTTTGTATGGTGCCTGGAGCGCGTCTCCGACTGGTGTGTTTATCGTCATCCCCCCCCCCCCCCCCCAATACATCGAAAGTGGTCTCGAAGTAACAACCAATGACGTCAGGGAAGCCGGAGAGTCATGCTGTCGAATGTCCCGATCCTGGCGGTCGATCGTAGAAACACTGGCCAGAAGCACGTGCGAGCGCGAGTTCCTCAGTCGTCGCGGCGTCCCAGCTTCTGGCTGTCGAAGCTTCCGTGAACTGACATACTAGAGAGCGGCCTGCAGCAGAACGGGTGTCCGTCACACCCACCACCACTGCTGGGACACCGCCAGGGTCGCGGCCGGCGACAGCGTGACACTTGTATGACGTCATCAGGCGGAAATCTAGGGACCATTTCTCAGGGACGTGGTAAACACTGCAGTCGGAGACGCGTAACAGACAGCGTAGTCTCACTGGATTTCCTAGTGAAACGGGGATTGCTGCTCTGCTGAGTCTTACCGGAGGCTCTTTTTCACCTCCCTGCCGGCTTGGAACCCATGTGCACTTCGGTTGAAGTACCTGTGATGTATAACTTAGTTTCATTTCTTGAAAACTAACTTTAACGAGTTACAACTGTAAGTGTGTAATTGTAACTTAACCCCATTTCAACTGAGGTAACTGCAACTGTAACTTAATTAGCTGTCATGAGTAGCTTTTACAGCTCTGCAGTGAAGCTAGTTTGGACGATTGTGGCACCAACATAGGCTAATATTAGCTGGTGCCACCAGGCTGTGACGTTGCCAGGGGAGGAACTTAAGGGGCTTCAGCCTCCCTTCCCCCCACCTGAACATTCAGCCGACCTATAATACACAGATATTATTACACCCCCTCCCCTCCCCTTGCCCTCACATCCCAAGTCATCAACATCCGAGCCATCTCTGCACCCCCCAGATAAACCTTTCTGGCCAAGCCACTGCAACCAGATACATATCTGGCCGCTTCAAAGCCACAACCGTGCCTGCCCGTGGGAACCCAGTACAAACCCGCATTGATTGCCTTTACATAATCCAACTTTGCTACAACAACCTACCTAATATTCGGAGCACTCTGTTTCTTAGTAGAAATCCTCAATAGGTTAAGTTTTTTGACTCTAGTGCCACCAATGTTGAGGTAAAAGTTTTCCAAGCTTGTACTAGTAAAGAGAGTTTTCGTTTTTTTAAGTTATTTCTTTGTAAAATTTATTTTCTTATAACCTGCACGGAACGTATCCCCTAAGCACCAAGCCCTAGCTTTCTTCTCATGGTAGGTGGAGCTTCAGTATCTTAGAGTTGGCCTGGAAACCTCGGTAGATCATCTATACGCGGAAGTTAATTAGGACTCGGTAAGGTTTACGACAGCCTTCATACAATGCCCGAATGTAGCTAACCTGATTAAATGTAGACTACACAATTTGACAATACGCAAATGTGGGCACCATGGTGGTGCAATATTTGTAGTAATGGCCAGTCAAAGAAAGCAGGTTTCAATATGTACTCATACTGGTTTAATTTGTAAAATCCGGTCCGTCATCTAACCCAACATTTTAGTTTTAAACCAATATTTACTCAACACCGTGTGTCACCTTGGGTAAATTAGAGGAATATATATATATATATATATATATATATATATATAAATCGGGCTAAGGTGCACGAATTTTTAAAGTTAAATAAGTTACATTTAATCGACAGATAGTCTCATCAAATGAATGCACGTCCTCGTTCTGTGTTTATTGCAAATGTGAATTAAAAATATTATTTGTTGGGCAGAAGAGTAGACAGAAAACGAGCACAAGTTCAAAGGTCACCACAGTAAAGATAAAAAAAGCATTTTTTTTTTGAAGATCCGCTTGTTTTCTCTAGACAACGTTACATCTCAAGCCGCGAATATATAAGTATATATTGATATGGACGGTAAAAGTTTCGAATGCGAGACTTTCAAGGGCATTCACCACCGCTTAGATGCCTGAAAACAATTCTACTAGTAGATGAGTGATTTCTGGATCCCATTGTTTTATGCCAAAACGAAACGACCGGCTTCCGGATGCATTCGTTTATATCTACCACTTATCTATTTGTGCGAGCTGTGTAAAAACAACAAAAAAACCTAGATTTGTCACCGATGAAAAGAAAATTCCGAATCTAATTAAGGGCATTGGAATTTCATTTTTTAGAAAAAGTTTTTTTTAATGCTATATTCATGCTTACTAACTTCAATATAATGGTTTTCCAAAACGCTCATTTATATAGATTGAGGATTTAGCTAGAAAACATATTTTCGGCATGTCGGCAGCCCTCCAAAGGAGCAGGAAGGAAATTTGCACCATTTTAATTAGGCCTGTTTTGTTCTCGTGTAACATAGGCAGACCATCTAACCCTCCTTGGAAGCGCCTCTTTCGTTAAATCTAGCCTTTCGCAGCTTCCGAAGTTTAAAAGAATCAATGGCCAGGACAAGCCCATAAATACAGACTGACAAAATGTAAAACATATCGTATGAGCGATCTTAGTGGTTGAGACCCAAGATAGGGCTAACGATTGGTCCTGCCCCGTGACGTGATAATTTCTTATCTTTAGCAGTGAACTTTTAACAGTATCTTCCCATTCAGATCAGATTGCCACTTTGCTGCTTTTCGGTATAATTTGCCTCATGGTTCTCGGCAGTTTATCTGTCGAGGAATGCCTCCTACCAAAAATAGCTTGCTCACCAACGACGCAAGCTGGTAGTTAATTCCCTGGGGACAATGAAGTTTCCAAAAAGGAAGGTGCTTTTGTATGCCTCAGACTCAGAAAATAGAGAAACCTGGAGTTGAAACTTCAAATGCATTTTTCTCAGTTCAACTTTTTAGCAGGAAATGTAGAATGAAATGTATCATTTGACGTTCTGAAAGCATAAAAACTTAATGCAGGGGTGTCCTGAACTGAAATTTTATAAAAAAACAAAAACAAATTAGAATACTCTGTCTAAAAAAAACACGAAAAAACTCGCTCTTTTAAGATAAAACTTTTGTGAATTTTTATTCACAAAAGTTTTATCTTAAAAGAGCGAGTTTTTCTTTCAGAACTTTCAGAACGTCATTTGACGTTCTGAAAGCATAAAAACTTAATGCAGGGGTGTCCTGAACTGAAATTTTATAAAAAAACAAAAACAAATTAGAATACTCTGTCTAAAAAAACACGAAAAAACTCGCTCTTTTAAGATAAAACTTTTGTGAATTTTTATTTTTGATTTCTGGGTGTTATTATTTTCTTTTTCTCTTCTAGAATTGCCTTTTCTACAATTTTCATTTTAACTTGTACTAAAGCACTCTAGTTCACACTCAAACACACCATTTTTGGATTGCAATTAAATTTTTTTTAAACCTTTTTAATGAAGTCCCGTCGTTTTGATAACTTGAGAAGCGTAGGATGCTGTATAATTGGTAAGGCTGAAACTTCTGAATTTATAATTTAAAATAAGGCCTACTTCGTCCTAAAAATTTGAATAAGTTTGAATGAAGGGTTGAAAGGTTAACCCTCTGAGGCTATATCCCCTCCTCCCTCTTTTTCAAAGCATGGTTTGAGTATATACATACCATTGAAATTTGCCCTTATGACGTTTTCAAGCGGGTAGTCAGTTTGATTCAGAGCTCTCACTTGTAGTGTGACATTCTCGCTGAAATCAAAACATTTTACGAGCAAGTTAAGTTCAGAACATATGCACCGATAAGCTAAGTGAGAGAAGGAGACGAAAGCGTGCGAAGACGCCACAACGTCGAGCTCTGATTGGAAGGATTAGTGGGTAGACCTAAAGGAAGCTGCCTTTGTCTAACGTAGTAGACTGCCGAAGCTGCCTTCTTCGGACGATCTTTCAAGAACACTTTTTAACGAACACCTGCATCTTTCATGCAGGCAACTTTTCTGGAATGCTAGAGTAAAGGGGAAGGCAATGCAGTAGAAATTTGTTTGGGTAAAGTCGGGAGGAATTTACAAATGGTATTTCGAAAATGTGCACATCGTCCGTATAAACAATGTTAAGGATCTGGAGGGAAAAAATGCGTTAGACAGCGACGGTGACTTTCAATACGTGTAAGGACTTCAATAAGTTGAGGCGGTTGCTCGTTGCACCCTGCCACTCAATTTCTGTTCTGTACATGAACATTAGATGTTTGAGAAAGTACTCGGAGTGTCTTAAAGTGATGGTTAATGCAATTTTGCCTCGCATTAACGCTTTTGCTTTAACGGAATCCAACGAACCCTAAGCTTTGTGGGATCTTTACCCGTTATTGGGTTACAATTCCTTTAGTTTTCTCACGAGCATTCAGTTGGAGGGAGGATGCTACTATATGCGAAAAGTGAATAACTATGTCTCAAGTCAGGAAGTAACTTTCGGTTACACAGAACGTATTTTCTTAGAAATTGAGACCTCCTTCCACTCTTTTAGTATTTTCGCGCGCTGTAGACCTCCTTCCAAAAGATACGGGCAATGTCTTCATGAGCTCACAGCGACAAGTTGGCACGAGCTGCAATCTAGTATTATTCGGCATCGTTTGACATATGAACATAGATTTGCTGAAAGATTAAACATTCGATATTTGCGACTACCCTAACGCTTGCTGGTGTAGGTTTTGAAAGCGTTTTCAGTGCACCAACCATATCCGAGGTGGTGGGCGGTAGACTGGTGTCCTCGTGTATTTACCATATTTGTGTCGGGACGTTAGAAGCAACACTGAAACGGCATTAATGTCGCAAAACTTGGCCCACCATTTTTTTGTTGGGTGTCAAATGGTATGGCAGTCTGCCCCGGCAGCGGCTCCGAAAAGTGATCGACAAATCATTCAAATCTTCGATAAAAAGATTTTGGACAGATTGGCTTCGTCACACGTTTGGGGCTCTTTTCTCCAAGGGACATCGCACTCTGATGTTTACTCAACATTTGTTCAAGTCTACGATTCTTTCAAGGCGAAGGCGCAGCGTAACGTTTAGTTAAAAAAAAAAAAAAAACGAAGGCCAGATCGCTTTTGGTTAAATAGTCATATTTTAGCTTCCATCGCTGATAAAAGTTTTCGGTGCGTTGTACGCGAGCTCCTCGAAATATACAATTGCCCGCGGAATTTCATGCAGCAAGGAACGAGGTCACTGCCCACGTACGTTTAGCTAAACGACTTTATTTGAAAAAAAAGGTTCTCACAAAATCGTTCCAATATTTCACAAACTTGGTCCCTTGTGAGAGGTCTTAGAGATCACTACAGTTAGCGCTCAATTGGTGACGTCATATTCAAATTTTTTTCGACAATAGTAAGGAAACCGCGGAAAAGCTTAACACGTTCTTCGCCACTTCTTCAGACAAATCACCCAGTGGCTGTGTTTAGGAAGTATCATTGAAAGATACAAAGAACTCGTCTGCTTTTCTTTATGATATGGATGAAAAAGCTTGGTAGTCGACTGTTTAGTATGAAGTGGACTAGATGACCTGGAGCAGATAGAATTACCTTCGGCTTTATCCAAATTAACTTTTCGTCTTTAAAACACGTGCTTCTTTTTATGACTAACGGTTTCATAAGGACACGTAAGATTAAGAAAGAGATCAAAGTGGCTATTGCTTGACCCATTTTTAAGGGCGGAAACCAAATGTGATACAGAATTACCGCCCCATATCAATATTACCTGTTTTGGTAAACCTGTTAGAAAAGCACCTATTTTTTGTGATTAGCAGTTTTTTGGGCAGCCTGATGATACCCAAATCGCAATACGATTGTCTAGCTGAGAAGGGCACGCAACTGCTCTTAGACGACAATACCGATTATTTGAACGGAGCGTTTCAGAATACTGTCTGTGTGAGTGTGTGTGTGTGTGTGTGTGTGTGCATACCGTTAACCATTCAATTTTGCTGTGTGAACTGTTTAATTTTGGTCTTCGGGAGCTTTCTTTTTTTCTTGAACTGCTGGGCGTTTTCAGAAAGGATCAAACAAACATATCCGGTGACCATTTTTAATTTTGATGAAAAAAAAATATTTTGCTGGCTTCATGCCAAGAAAAATAAAGCAAATCCTTGTTTTCAGAAAAAAGTTTTTGTGTTTGCGAAAAAAATTGTCAGCACCCTCTCAGTGACGTGCGCGTTTTGCGTATCGCCCGATGCTAGAATTTCGGGCGTCTTCTCCCAAAAAACTCTTCTGCCTACGGGTCTAGAAATATTCACTGACAAATTAGGCATAAGAAGGATTGCAAAAAGTATTAATCACCGAGTATTAACGTAGTTGGACTGCTGAAGGCGAGTGGGTTGAACATGAATACATAAAATTGAAAGAATAAAACACGGAGGACAAGCACAGGACAACCACTTTCTTTGAAAAAAGAGAAAGTCGTTGTCCCGTGCTTGTCCTCCGTGTTTTATTCTTTCAATTTTATGTAGGGTAGTTATTTTGAGAACAAAAAAATGCACAATAACGATCTGGATTAAAGAATGTTTTTCTCCGTATCTATAAAAGCTAAGGTCTCAAACCCTTGCCAGGGTGTTACTTTGTATATAGTTCATCTTTGCGTGAAATATTGTTGTCCTGGTTAGCGGGAGGAATTTAGAAGAATTGCTCACACAAGGACATTCAATCGAAAATGCATTATCTTGAAAATCATTTAAAAAAGGCCATATTTATTATTAGAGAGTTTTAGTAATACGTATAGGAGCAAACGCAGACCCCATACGTTAACGTTAACGTTGCGTCCTCCACACTGCGCATGCGCCATACGTACGTACTGCGGCGAGCCTTGCGTACGTACGCTCGCTATCGATTTTTGCGAACGTACGTAGCGGTCCCCTGCGTGCCATCTCGTTGCTCTCGTCGCGCACGGGAGAGCGCGAGACTAGCCCAGTTTGAAAAATGGCGGCGGTGAGGCAAACCAGCGGAAGTGCTACGCGCATTGTACGGGTTCGCTTTACCACTGAAGATGGCATCAACTTCCTCAAAGAAGTCAACGCGACGAACCCTTTCGAGCACCCACAACGATGGGTGTCGATAGCCAAGAACATTGGCGACGCCGTCGAACCCAAAAAGATGTTTACCGTGCGGTCGGTACAAAAAAAAAAACACGTACACAAGAGGCACACGAAAACACGCACTTCCGTCCTTCCGTAACAAAGCGAGGAGAATCGGGGCATTGGATTTGCTTGACCGAATACCCACCTTAGATTGTTTGAAGCAGTTTACAGGAGCACATCTAGATGGCGCTACAAGTCTTTACGTATGCGTTCTTCTTCCGCTGTACTAAAAGTGCGTATTCGACACGCTCCGTGACGTTCCGTCGACGCAACGTTAACGCTAACGTAGGGGGTTTGCGTTTGCCCCTATACGTATTACTAAAACTCTCTATTATTTAAACTCTCTCAAATTGACGTTGATAATATGTGTTAACAGAGTCTACAAAACGTAATGCAATATTTGTGTGGCTGTTAATTTATAAAGCGCGAAATATCGCCAAATTGACGCTAACGCGGTTGCCATAAATGCATGGGGCGTGCACTTACCCGTTCTTCACGATTTCATTATTATTAAAAAGCGTAAAACTGCTACGGGGTGGTCAGGAAAATAGAAATTAACAGCACAGAGGTGGACGGTAGTTTGTAGGGAAAATGTCTTATATATTTTTGTACAACCGACCCAAAAATGCCCATGGACCGGAGCGATCGAGGTGCGCCACCCTGTAACATGCTTCGCGGTGCCTGTTTCAACAGCCGGCGTATAGCGTCTCCGTCTACGCGGCGTAAAGGAAGCAACCGGAGCGACTTTGCAAACAGGTCAGCCTACAACCCTGGCGGCAGACTTGTACACGTTACTGAAAAATAGTAAGGAATTACATTTACAATTACTCAAGGCTAAATTGTAATTTATTACAATGACAATTACCTTTCCATGAAAGTAAGTGACCGTTACCCCAAAAAGTAATCCGTTACTTTCGTGGCGTTACTTTCAACAATATTGTCTTCAATTAACAAATAAACGGAAGAGGGTCATTCAAATTCTTAGTGTTGCCACCTGTTCCATTTGCGCACAGACGGCGGCGGAGTATCGAGTATCGTTAACGGAGTCATCGGACCGATCGACTAAAATTCTCCATTCTCGAAATCGCAAAGCTATAGAAGTCCTCATACACCTAGCCAAAACTAGAATAAGAATTGATTTAGGCGTCCATCCTACTATACCGGCATATATTGCCAGACAATAGCAAAAAACATAGTTGTAACAGTAAGGTGATAATTCAATGATAAATAACGTTTGGCCAGTTTGGCTCGATATTCTTCTTCGTTTGGTTTTGAACAGGTCGAGCCTCGGTTGAGACGTTGGTGAATGAAAAAAAGTTTCCAGTAAATAAATACAAGTAATAAAAAAAGGACACTCATAACAACAATTAATAAGAACGTCGGTTAAAACAACGAAATGTAAACGCACGTTTGCCGTGTGTACCTTTCTTGGTGCCGTTCAAAAACACACGGAGCACGAATCGACTGCAGTTTACTCCGGTGTTCTCCAGATAGACGCCCGCTGATGCCACGGGCAGCGAAGGGCAGAGTACTAAGTAAACCGCGCTATGGGCCCCACTTTCGAGTTTCACTCTCTCCCCAAGCCCAGAATATCAAGTCTACGTCAGCCATAATTATGCTTATTTGTAAAAATATCTGCTTCAAATAAGAAGCGTCCTGCTGTGGGAAAAACAGGAAGAAGAAAGGAAGACTATTACCATTTTCAAAGTGTTCGCAAAAAGCTGACTCACAAGGAGGGTGACTGTGATGCAGATCACCTGGCTGGAATTCACAAATAAAGTGGGCCAACTCTAGAAGTTGGACTACAAGAAAGCAAGTAGCTTTTAAAACAGGGTCAAATAAGGTGAAAGAAACAGAAAAAAATACATCCTGTTTTCGAGAAGATGATAAGTGTGCAGCAACGAACGAGGATGCTTGTGGCAATAACATCTTCACATATTATCACATCTCTTTTAGCGGATGTCTGGTGTTGGGACATAATGAAAATGGTCGTAGTCATTATAAACGAGAAGGACATTGTTAATGCTTGTCTGCGCACCTACCGTCTGGAGCTTCTCGAAGAAGTACACAATCCCTTCCCGTCCTCCTCTCCCCGTTTTCGATCACAAAAAAAAAGGCCCAAAAAAAAACAAAACGGATACTTCCCGCCCCCCCCCCTTTTTTTTTTTTTGTAGAAATGTTTATTTGCTTTTTTTTTTTGACATTGTTGTTAGGGTCTAAAAAAAAATAGATTTGCAAACAAAAAAGGCTTTGCGGAACTGAAGGGTGCCAAGCCTCCCTTTGCGCGTGACAGTGTCACTGCGCTCGACTTTACCAAAATAAATACAACCCCTCCTTTAGAAGGGGGGGGGGGGGGTTGACCCTAAAAAAAAAAGTAACGGATTACAAGGAATCCGTTACGCAAAAAATGTAAGGGAATTACTTTAAAATTACTCTAGAAGATATGTAATTATTCCGTTACTAAATTACTGATAAATGTAAGGGATTACAAGTAATTTCGTTACTTGTAACGGATTACGTACAAGTCTGCCTGGCGGTAACATGATCTAGGAGGTAGGGCGCGGCAGAACCTGAACCTGTGCCGCCTGTGACCGCCAATAGATTCGCCGCCGCGCGCCTAGGGCCGCACAAATACTACAAGCTGTTTTCACTGCTGTGAATTGGTTTCTTGACAACTGTATCAAAGTTAACTCCTCAAAAACTAGTTTAGTATGTAGTAGAACATTCCTCTGTTAATTCATACCTCTTATTGCGCTTCTTGTTCCTATACGACCGATTCTTACGTCAATTCAGTGAAATACATTGGCGTTTACTTTGACAGCGACCTAGCTTGGAACACCCACCTGTCCTATATTTTTAGCAAACTCAGAAGTGCTGCCTGGCTTCTGTACACAAGTAGACATCATGCGCCGATCTGTGTGCGCAGAGCTATTGCCAGCAGTCTTGCAGTTTTAAGATATGAAATTAGGTATTCTGATGAGACTGAGGCAGGAAAAGAGGAAGTTTCAAAGTAGAAGAAAAAGGAACAGTCGAGGATACGTCTCTAATTAGAGACGTATCCTCGACTGTTCCTTTTTCTTCTACTTTGAAACTTCCTCTTTTCCTGCCTCAGTCTCAGGCTAACATCAGAATGGTTAATTTCCACCAGCTCGCCTGCGCACTCACTACAATATCAATGAAATTAGGTATTTTTTTCCAATTGCCTCATAAGATGGAAAGTACAGATCGATAATATTCTGCGGAACTTACTGAAGAGCGAGGCGTATAACTGTGATTTAACAGAATGCGGAAATATTTTTGAGTATCTTGGGTTACCTTCCTGCCAGAAGTTGTTCGTGGATTCAGTAATTTTGCGCCACTTTTGGATGGATGATTTAAAAGAAAAAAAATTCATGTCCTCCCGAGTTCTAAGAGATTGTCCTCGCTATGTTGCGCCTCGTTCTTATACTCGCTACGGTCAAGCTAGTCGTGATATTTATGTCCCGAAAATATTTAATTCACTTCCTGGTGACATTATTACGCTTGCCTCAAAAAGGCAGCTAAACAAAATCCTCAATGACTGGATTCTACATTCAGTATTCGTTAATGTTTTCTTACCTTTATTTTGACAACCTTGTCGGTACGTTTTTATCTTACCTGTCTCAATATTTCTATAATGTTTGATCCGGTCCACTGTGATGGACTATCTGTTCCCGTTGCATGTATATATTTCTATGTATACTCTTTATGCGTCTCTACATGTACTCTTTATGTATCTCTACATGTACCTGTACATATGTCTATAATGTTTTACCGGTCCACTGTGATTGACTGTCTCTATGCGTGCCATGTACAAAGTCACTGACTGCCCACCGCTTCCCCCTTTCCGCCCTGCCCCGGAAACTATGATTATTTATCTGTGTTAGTTTGTTAACTAAGTATGCATATAATGATTACTACCTCTTTCGGGCCATGTTCCACAAGACTATTTGGGCTTTGACGGGCCCCAAAATATAGAAAAAAAACATGAAAGCAGAATGAACATTATCTTATTATTATTATTATTATTATTATCATTATTATTATCATTATCAATAATCATTATAGATGTATTATTATTATTATTATTATTATTATTATTATTATTATTATTATTATTATTTAGCCGATGAGTGAAGTACTTACTATTTCTTTCTTCTCGTATCGTAACTCATTATTGTGTAATTTGCGGTTTTGTTCGTTTTGTCTGTGATATTTGCTGATGTGAAGATACATCTCTCATAAACGGAAGCGTCGGTGCGAAACAACAAAAAATACGTATTATTTGACGTTTGTTCTAGGACCTGCAATCATCAAAACGAAACATTTCTTATTATTTTTCTCAATATTTAAACAAGACGCATGGCAGGGCCAACTAAATAGGGCACTTGTACCCGTGCCACACGGGCCACTCGAATGCCATTTACAACAAATGACATTCCTGTGATCGACGAATGGGCTCGCGATCTGTCGCGCGTGGAATGCCCCAACCTCGGGGTATCGCACGCTGATTGGCCGATCCTTCAAATGTCATTCGTTCTTAACGGCATTCGAGTTACCCGTGTGGCACGGGTATTACTCGCGTTTAAGCATTCGTATCCTGTCGACAGTGAAAATCAGGCATTGCCCCACTTTAAATCACAGCAAACTAATGATGTCCGTCTATATTGAATGCCTACCCTTCAATGAACGCTCTTACACAAAGAACAAATCAAACGCTTGTATCACTAACATTGGTTTCAACACGACTACAACATAAATGTGCGCGTGCCATTACATTACTTGCAAGCGCGTATTTGTGTAACCGTAAAGAATAATTATATGATTGCAGAGAACTAACACCTGCAAACGACGCTGCGAATTTTAAACATCTCTACCACGCACATGTCTTTGTATGATATTTCTTTAGTCCTAAAATGCATACTCAAAAAATTAATTTGCGTATGGTCATGCAATGCTTTTAGGAAACGATAGTTCAGGAGTCATTACCGCTCCTTGGATTTCTGTTTAATCATAATGTAGTTATTTCTGCTTTCTTCGTCTTTTGTAATAAAGTAGTATGGTTTCTAAAAATGATCGGGCAACAATGTGCCGTACACTCCGGTCTATATAGGGTGATTCAAGGAGACGCCAGCCTCTTTAAATCGACCGCACAATTCGGTTTCTTATCCTATTGCGCTACGACTTTGTGCAGCGTTGCACACAGATGGTGCATTTTTTTTTTTGTAAAATTTGCAAAGAGCGAACTTACCTGAGGGAAATGTAAAGAAAGAAAAAGGCTTAGCTCCTATGGAAACGCAACGACGCCACCGGTCTTCAAACAACACGGCACCGTTTCGCACGGGAGACAAGAGATGGCGCAAGCGGTCGCGACACCAACTGCCGCCAACGAACGAGCATACGACGACGGGAGCCGGCGTGTTTAGCAGACAAGGAACTGCAGTTCCTTGTTGTTATTGCGCCTGTTTTTGTTTCTGCGACTGTCGCCGCCCGCGGAACGCGCGCCGCTTTCGAGTCGAAAAGATTGCTAAAGACGCTGGCTCTCGGCGCCGTATGCTCGTTCGTTGGCGGCGTTCGTTGCGCCATCTCTTGTGTCCCATGCGAAACGGCGCAGTGTTGTTTGCAGACCGGTGGCGTCGCTGCGTTTCCATAGGAGCTAAGCCTTTTTCTTTCTTTACTTTTTCCTCAGGTAAGTTCGCTCTTTGCAAGTTTTACAAAAAAAAAAAAGCACCATCTCTGGGCAACTTTGCAGAAAGTCGCAGCGCGATAGGTTAAGAAACCAAATTTTCCGGTTAATTTGAAGAGCCTGCCGTCTCCTTGAATCACCCGGTATTGTAACCATAAAGGTAGGAAGAAAAAGAGGAGATATAGCGACTCAAGCCAGACACACGAGAAAATCCCAAGTGAAGCCGAAAGGGGGGGACGCGGTCGGTGGAACGGCCCCCAAGGTGAACAAAACTACACCAAAGCCGCTGCTGGTGCCAAATCAGGTGTCCTTTCTTCAGGTTTCGGTCATCGTTGGGGGTGTGTCCCTCTAAACCGGAAAACCCGGGACCACTTCGCCTCCAGGACACCTCGATGATGGTAACTTTAGCGCGCTCCCTACGCGCCCCAAATAATTCTGTTACTCATTTAGTAGTTTTAGATGATACTCAGCAAGTTTCTGATAGGAATCATATATTTATCTTCATCAATAAAAATGTAAATGAGCACATTTTAGTTAATTAACTGATTTTGCGTGATGCTTATCGACTGATATTATGTCTTTCTGACCGTCTAACTCACCTGCACAGTCCGCGTAAGTATAGCTTACGTGTATTTTTTTTAAACAAATCAGTAAAGCCTTAAGAAGACAGCCTGTATTTCGTCCCCCACCCCCTCTTATCTTAATAACATACCTTCCATGCATCTTGCAGAGACCCAAGATCTGGGTAGTTGAAGTAAGGGCTGTTGTCCGGGTTTTTTATGGTCATTTTTTCTGTCCAGTGAAAGCTCGGTGTCCATCTGCGGCTCTGCGCCAAGACCTCAGCCGCAGCGAAATATGCGAACAACAATGCGCACTGGAGGTTCATAGCAACGTATTCTTTCTGCATTCCCTCCTCTTTAGAGATCGACTGAAGACTGCCTAAGTGTTAAATAAGTTCCTATTTTTTGTGTTGTTATTTGAAAATACAGCTGTACCGGATCATAGCTGACGTTTGTGACGAGATTTTCTTCAGGGAAAAGCATTGTTCGGAGAGGCTGCGTTAACATGTCGGACAAGTGTTCGTAATACACAACGAAGTAAAAAAAAAATGCCCGAAGTAGTTTCGGAAGGCAATTATAGATTTCAGTGGTTCCGATTCCTTCGTCGCCTTGGTTACTCTGGTTGCAGCTCACACAAACGCCTGAAACAGCCTTGACGCGAGAGAAACAACAAAGTCACATTTCGCCGTACTAAGTCGTGAGAATGAACTCAAAACTAAGCTGACAAGATTTATAAAAAAAAACAAAAAAAACAGTAACTATGGCATGAATGGGCGTCTTCCCAATCAATACAATCACCCAGTTTTTATCGCTTCCTAGCTTGGACTGTCGTGAGGTGATTATTGTCAGAAACAAGGAAAGGGAATACGACATGGTAAACTATGGACACTGACGTCTTAGACAACGCAGCGCGTGCCAGGACCCAATAGTTTTATTATCGCTCCGAAACCGATTAGATTTTGGCAATTTGTGATAAGAACGCCCAAGAACGAATCACAAAGCGAGAAGAGTTAAGGTAAGAAATCACACGCCCGGTATTTCTTAAGCTGACGGTGATTACTATCTATCTGGCTTATAAAACAATTATTTCGTCAACGATAGAATAATAAAGCGTCATTGAACTCTGGTATAACGTCAATTACACTACGAATTCAGACGAGGCTACAAAGAAATCCGTAAGGCTGGGATTGCACTGCTCATTCATCTCGCAAAACACAGTCTGCAAACACGAGTCACCGCAATGTCCGTGGTTCGAATGCCGCGTGCCCAAGTTTCCTCCCTGAACTCATTTTCACTCGGCATTCGAAGCAGGGATCTCGCGATGGCTCGTGTTCAAATCTCGATGCAGAGTGTTTTTTCTATGATGCATAAACAGTGTAACCCCGGCTTTATGTTTACATTTCGAGCGTAAGAGGTGACATTCGTGACTTAATTATCTAGCCCAGACAGCTGGTATCCTTTTTACTGACCGAAACGAAATTATTGTGCAGGCTTAAATGCGTGCACGCATCAAGTTTCTCCAGGTATGTTCCCGTCATTTCGCTTCGAAAGTCAAGTAGCTAAACATTTCCAGTGCACCTGGCCTTCCAAAGCGAATATTTTTAGACCGTGTTTTAATTGTGCCTCATGACAAACGAGAAAGAGGCGTTTAGAGGTACCCCCCCCTCCCCTTGCTAACCGCCATGTTGTACAATTTTGACAACTTGACACGTGACTGTACCAAATTCAGAGGCTTTTACGAAAAACTCAGCCAAGATTTGTATTGTGATCACCGTAAAAAACATCAGAACCTATTTCTCAATACACTTGTTCGCAGATATCAGTGTCTGGCTACGATAAGAACCCTAAAATACAGCACCGCGGCTGACGGCCAATATCGGAGCCATGGCGAAGCTGCCCGAGGTATTGTCGTAAAAGCACATTTCGGACTTAAAATAAATGAAACATAACTTATCTCGTCGGTACTGTTATTAGAAATCAATAAGCAATCATCTGTGCGCGGTACTTTGTCAAAATCGAGACGTAAAACTATAAGGCCACGTGTCAAGTGGCACAAAATGTGCAACACGGCTGCGGCCAGATGGGGGTCACTTTCAGCTGCCAGTTTATCGCGCTAAGCCCCTCTATCTTGTTGGTCATGACGCTCGATCACCTTTCTCGCGGGCGCGTGCACGTGAAAAAAAATGACAAGAACAGAAAAGGTGCAATGACTGCATATTTGTTTCGTTGCTTTTTGTTTTAGTCCTCCCGGTCACTTTTTACTTCAAATCAACAGAAGCTGACAGACTCCTGTATTGAACCGCAGTGCATGCATGATGAAACGCTGAATGCCACTTTCATGGTCACGTCTTGGAGCGTTGCAGAAGTTTTTGGACAGGGGCAAAATAGCAGATTTCGTGTCCGCGTCTCACTGACATTGCAGACGACGTTGGACGATGGTGAAATAGCAGATAATGCCGGAGGCTGCCGCCTGTCTGCTCGCACGACTCGCAGGCTCACTCAGACGCCAGACAAGAGGCACCGGATGTCGCGAAAGGGAGACACTAGGCTTGTTAGCGTGATAAACCGAGCAGCCAAGCCAGACAAGCAGTAATGGGCGGGGCCACTGATTTGTGGTCGGGGCTTAGGGCGTGCTGTGACCTCCACCTAAATTGGGTCGAACAACGTAAATAGTGCGCGAATTAATTTTTTTTTATTTCTTAGAAAATTTATTGAAAAAACATACGTGTTCTTCCTATACAATTAAAACAACTTTTTTTATTTTAATATTTATTTACGTGTGAGCGTAACAGAGGTTACAAGGGCAGTCTTCGGACTTTCAGCGTCTCTGCCCAGCACTAGCGCTCGTGTAGTGCAAGCGCTGTTCAAGGCCATACGCTCGAGCTTGTTTCATCGGCTGCGCCTGGATTTAAGTATCCGCTGGAGATCAAAAACCTAGCCAGTGCGATACCTCTACTAAGTGAGATTTTGTACATGCGTCGCGCAGTACAGGTACACGACGGCACGCCGACACGCCGGCACGTGTAAGGATAGTACCGAGGACAACCGTGTTCAATGTTCACTTGCGCAAGGCAGCAGGAGATTGAAGGCTCGGCGGCTGGCACATGCTAACGCACTGCTGTTTGCCAGCTGCCGTAGAGGCCAGTTCATACATACCTTAAAGGTGCGATGCAAGAATTTTGTACTTTGCGCAAATTCCGCTTAAAACGGATCCCTGACGTTAATGACCTATGAAACACGCGTTCGTTTTTCATCCCACGCAATAGAAGTCCCAGAAAAAAAATTAAAGAAAAACCTTTCGCCCCCTCAACTCGCAGCCAGAACAAGCGGCCACGTGATCTGGAGCTGATTATATGCCGCCAATGTTGATCATGGCCACGCGTTTCGGTTGACAAGGGACAGGACACGCGCTGAGTTTTAGACATTGTTGTGGTTCGGCTATTGTCGTCATTGCAGCGTTTGGACACGGGCCACTCCCCGAATGCTTCTCGAGTTTTCGATTATCACGAACCCAGATCGAGTGCCCACGCAATGCCTGGGTCTAATCTATGAGCTGCGTTCAAATATTGTCACTGGGTGGTACTGCGACCGCCCAGCTACGTCATCAATTTTTGGGAAGGAGATATTGAATGAGACCGCCCGCTTTTGTCCTTGAAATTACACCGCAACAGGGTTTCTTGCCCAGTGGCGTTGCGTGCAAGTATCCTTGTCTTCCACTAGTGCCAGTAAGCTCGTGTAAAGTGAAAAACATTGCAATTGAATATCGGTGCACCCCCCCCCCCCCCCCCTTTTTAAGCTAAAACGAAGTGGAGCAAAATAGGATTTCCAAATTGTACAGTTGTGCAGTATATATAGCAGTCTCGGGATGATATGCGGCAGCCCAATAAATTGTTAGTGAAAAAACGGTTAAAGTACAGGCGAGCTGGTGGATATTTACTATGTTGGAACTTAACCCGAGACTGGGGTAGAAGCAGAAACTTAAAAGTAGAAGGGACAGAGACAAGTGAAGAAGAGAACGTCTCAAGACGTTCTCTTCTTGAGACGTTCTCTTCTTCACTTTTCCCTGTCCCTTCTACTTTTAAGTTTCTGTTTCTACCCCAGTCTCGGGTTAAGTTCTGACATGGTAAATTGTTAGAGCGTGCATGACTGATAAAGCACAGAGTTGTAAATTGAGGCCGCGGAACAAGCGCACGTAAAATTGAATATAACTTTAGCCACCCGAGACAGTATTTTGCGAAGTTTCGAGCTCGTGCAAGCCGATGTCCTAATGTAATAAAAATGAAAAATATATTGTCTCGTCTTCGCGCTATTTATGTGTAGTTAGGAACATCAATGCGCGCGTCTCTATTAGAGAAATACGGACGATAACCAACCATGTACTAAACAGTTAGGAGCCCGACGTTGCAAAACCGATTCGGTTTTTTTCATCAGCGTCAACTATTTACACGCGGAGAGTAGCAGCTTCTTTTCCATCTACGGTGTGTCTTTAACTTCATAACTTCAATCACTTTCTCTTCTTCAAGTGCCCTAGTCCGTTGACATACGCCGGTGTTTAAAGGGGAACTCCGACGGCTTTTCGAGCTACCTAATCCTAAGGCATAATCTGAATGCGGATGGCTTCCTGATTGCGAAATGCTATCTCGTTCTCCCAGATTTCCTATAGTTAATTTAAGAAGTGATATTTTGTTTGCTGCCGAAACCGAAACATCGTTCTCCCTAGAGTTTCCCCAGTTTTCCCTGCCACCCAAGCGTGACGTCACTTGTGTGCAGCGAGGCGCGCGGCCGGCAATCGGGTACGTTCGCGTTCGCCTTTCTCGCGTCTAACAGCAAGAAAACCTGGGCGTTCGTGATGTTTGAAGTTGATAATTATATATATTTGCACAAAGTATGGCCTTGGCCTACGTGCATAAATATAATAAAGTAAAAAAAAAAAAAAACGGAAGCAATTGGAATTTTCATAAAACCGTTTTTGCAACTCGCTACTCTCAAGCCACGGCTCTCTAGTTTCGTGATATCTTTGGTAAATCCGTTCTCTTTTTCTTAGAAGATGGCTGGCGAAGAAAGGTTGAAGAGTCACGCAATACATTTTTTTTTAAATGGCCAAAGCACCACGGAAGATGCTCGGAATGTAGGTGCAGATGCCCCACACGTTTGTATAACCTGAACGAACGTGCCATTTGTTTTAGATTGTCTTTTGAAAAGTTACTGCTGCAGGCGTCAGCACGTGGAACTCCTCTTGTGGCATGAATATGCTAATTGGTGCTGAAGTAATTTAGCAAAAGATCTGTAGACCATTTCTGAAGAGCGCTTTGGTCGATGCCAATTTCAGCGTTCGTGCGCGTGGCAT